GTGAATAAAGAATTCAGATCAAAAGAATACATAGTCTTATCTCCGATACTGATATCATTTAATTGGTCACCAAGTTCAAGTGTATCTTTCAAAGAAAACTTACAAACCTGGCTTTGAATAGGAGCGAAAAGTTTTGCCAGCCACTTACCCAGTTTATGTGTGGGTGACCAACATGTAGATAATATTGTACGAAGTTGATTATTGGCTTTATGGAAAGTCTGTATAGATGTGGATATTCGGAACCCATGAGTTGTAGCTAACCTAACCTGGTTAACTAGTTCACCAGCTACTAGCCGGTCTTAAGCTCGGATAAAGAGGGAGGGTTGGGCATAGGGCTAGCAACCCTACACCATAAAATCAAGTCAACCCCCAAAGAAATTTCAAAGCATAGACAAAATATGAAAATAAAAACAAAATTATTCCTCGCTGGAATCAGAGAGGCGAAAAGACGCCAGTTGGTGAAAGCCTTCGGGAAGCCAACTGGCCGATGTGTCTTCTCTCCATCGATGAAAGTGAAAGTAAACGTGGGGACATGGAATGTCCGCACCATGTTTGAACGTAGTTGGCAAGGCAGCCCAGATTGCAAACGAGATGAGAAGGTATCACATTGAAATGCTTGGAATCTGAGAAAGCATGTGGAATGGGAGTGGACTCTACAAACTGTCAACTGGAGAATCAATAATCTACTCCGATATTGTCACCCAAACGACAACCACGAGCACACTGAGTTATGGAGTGGCTATCATGATGTCTCCTTGAAGAGCATCGAAGGCTCACTCTCATGCAGTGGGAACCAATCTCCTCCACGATCGGGATCATCACAGCAAGATTCAAATCAAAAGGATGGAAAGTCACAATCATACAATGCTACGCTACACACCTACAAATAATGCAGATGAAGAGAAGAAGGAGGAATTGTACAGACAACTGCAATCAGTACTGAACAAGACCTCAGTTGGCGACATCAAAATTCTAATGGGTGGGGTGACATGAATGCCAGACTGGGAGGGGACAACACAGGAAAAGAACTAACCATGGGTCGAGAAGCGCTCGGTGAAATTATGAACGAGAATGGAGAATTGTTTACAGAATTCTGTGCATTCAACGATTTGGTGATTGGAGGCAGTGTGTTCAAGCACAAGAATATTCACAAAGCGAGCAACATGAACTTCACCAGATGGAAACACAAAAAATCACATCGACTTCATCTTATCTCGAGTGGAACCCAGATGGGAAACTGCGAGTTTGGTGTCCGGGGCGAGGATGACATAGAGGAGATCGTGTGAGGAAGAAACGAAAGCTTGTGGGCAGTCGTGGAGCCAGGTTCAAAAGATTGCAGAGAAGAGAGTGGAATGGAGACATGCTACTGAAGCCGTATGTTCCACTAGAAACCCAAGGGACTAATAATAATAATGAGCTTTAGCTATTAAAAAATCACTTTGTTTATAGCATTCATGTTGATCAGTTTACTTCTAATCTACCTATTCTCTGAGCAAGTATGTCTATCGTAAGTTTGCTTTTATCGTTGAGGATGAATAACATTTTATACTCATAATTCGACTTATAATAACAACTCCTAATCCTTTGTTAGGCTTAAGCATGATAATATCAGGATTATCTAGCAATGTTTTTAATGCTTTGAAATGTTGAGATGTTAAGAGATGTTAAGACACTTTCGTATCTCAGACGCGAAAAGTTTGAACACAGAAATTAATGATTCCAAATTAGTCTCCTGTTAACAGATAAACAGTATAATCTGATACCAACCAACAAGATATTGTAGTACCAGAAAATATCAATAGAAAAACTTGGTTGCATTAATTTAAGTAATTCATGAAGTCTAGGATTTCCTACCTTTTAAAATAGCATGAATCTAAACAGTTCAAGAAGTGTATATTTCATTGAAACCTTGTTGAATAAACGTAGTTCAGGCTTAAACGTAATCTAAGAAGGCGAATCAAGTCTACCTTGTCTAAATTAGAAAAGCAATTTACAGTGAAACAGACGTACTTCCAAAGTACTTCAAAATAATCAGAGTACCGACCAATGCAGATTCAGGTACGATTGTTTTTGTGCTATTTTAGAAGCGGAATTTACTAACATTTGATTTGAATATCAGATTTGCTCAGACGAACGACCGTAAGAGTGTGAGGAATCCTTCAGTTTCCTTTCATATTTCTGAAACAACAATACTTGATAATTCGTTCAGTATGTGTTGATGGTTGGCATACGATATCAAACATCTGAGACACTATCACATGATACGCTTTTGGATAAATTAGACAAACTGATAAATTTATGAACATCCTAAGTGAATCTCCTGCTAGACCACATCAATTCCCTTCAAGTAGCAAACATGCCTAACTAATGATTGCTAACAAGTATGAAATCTAGACAAAGTGGGAAATCTCGCTAATTACCTTAAACCAAGTAACACCTTGATGCTGAACTTCCCAGCTTGCTGTCGTGAGGACAAATACTCAACGATAACATTGGGTTAGATCCCTGGTGTGGCAGGGTCATGGGTGCGTACTGCTGAGGAGTCCCATACTAGGACAAAACATCTGTCCAGTGCTCCCAGGTTTCCAATATTCCTCCAACTTATGTCAGTTCATGATGAATATCAACTTGGAAAACCACTAAACCCCTACAAACCCCCAGATTTATGCCATTTAAGGTTTGTAACCACTGATTCTCAAAACTAGTGAAACTGAAGTCAGGAAACCTACCACCAATAACTTTTAATTTAAATCCACTCATGTATCTCTTCAACTAACTGAAATTGTAATGATTAACTCCTCCTGAAGTTACCAGTGATTCAAACCATCCATCACTCACCAATTGATTTGCTTTGTCTTACCTACATTAGCTCCTACAATTAACATTTACCACTTGCAGCTCCCCTTTTTCACAGCCCTTCTATTATGATTATTTGCTGGCATACTTATAACTCTCCGTTGTTATATTGGGTCGAATTATTCAACCTCTTTTGGTATATTAGCTCCTTTACGGATGCCTCGATGTTGCCTGAATATTTATCATGGTAATTAACTTGGTTGTGACTGGCAGAGAAATCCAGGACGCGCGTTTCGTTCAAGTTAAGATTCGTTAGCTCGATGCACCTACACCCCAGTGCAGGGTAATATGTTGTTCCCACTGAGACTCGAACCACGTACCTATCGCTTCAAACGCGAAGGCGTTATCCACTGGGACAATGAGGAACGATAGCCACCTCTTGTACAACAGGTATTAGTAATAACTATTTGTTGATATATTTGATACACACTGAAGTGTCGGTGCTAGGTCATAAGACCTGCACAACACAACAATGATTTGTAAGTCCAGAAAACTTACAGTTGGAGTATGATTAAAGAATTAGGTAGGGTGTCTACGGAAGATAGATATGAGACTCACTCAAGTGGAAATCTAAATATACCAGACATATGTATGTCATGTATTAAAAACTTCTCTCAGGGTATAATTCATTCAGAAAGCTTTTTTCAACAAGAGACATGTTGACAACATCGTAGTCGTAAGTGAATATGCAAGAAAAATCTTGTGGAGGTAAACAAATGATTACTGATTAATAGGTTGCTAGAGAATAGTCATCCACGAAATTTTATTGATGGTACAAAACCCTAAGAGGACTCAGATTTACGGTATAATCTGTTCCAATGAGAGGGTTAATTACCAAACTTTCACAGAAGGGTGAGAATCATGACCTAATGCTTAGAAAGAGACTGAATGCTGCCACTAGGAAGTCATATCATATAGTCAAAGCCAAGATTTTTGAAAACATTAATACGACATATCCTTCTTAGTTCATGTAAAAGATGATGTGACATTCCGTTGTATTTATCAATGTAAGTGTAACTCTAATCATACATGCATAAGGCGGATTAATGTATCCTTGCAAGTAACGACATCAGAACTCACTCTATATGGTTAAATAAACAGATTTAATCAACGCTAGCCGCAAAATTTCTGTACACAACTAAGAAACAGATTCTTAAGACATGCCTTAATTGAATCGTTGGTCCTAGCTTCAATCTCTGGTGGGATCTTGGGTGCGCACTGCTGAGGAACCTCATACTGGGATAAAACAGCTGTCTAGTGACACCAGATTTCCAATATTCTTCCAACTGACTTCAGTCCATAATGAATACTAACTTAATTGAAAGTTTAACGTGTTTTAAGCCTATTTAAACAACATACTGAAGAAAGTATCTTAGAGTTTATCAAGGCTTTTGCCCTTAGAAAGTTTAGACCACCTCTGAATATTTGCCAGCAATTTGTTATTATAATAAACCTTTCGTGATTATTTCGGCTTCGACACCGGTTCTTGCTGTTGTTATGACCTTCAACTAGGTATTTTCATTTGACTATTGTTCTCCTCCTCATACATCACATTGCATTATCATTATTATTATCTTTCATATAAAGATCAAAGAACGAATTTGTGCGTGATCAGAATGTTTGAAGTGAGTGAAACATAAGTCAGAGATCATGTCAAGACTCATAAAGGCAACTACTACTCATTTCAGATTATCAAGATATACTATTGAATAACTCGATTAGTTGATATACGCTTACGCTGTTTTATGGATCTGCTTAATCAGATAACAGTGGTCTAAACACTATATGATAATTTCGCTCGTTTAATGCGGAGCTCATCATTCAGTAAGTCTGAACAATTCGACCGTATTATTTGAATTAGTTCGGGTATACCTCTGGTGATCTTGGCCCTCGACGAGCGTAACAATCACCGGGTGTTTAGAATCTCTCTGATGCGGCTAATGAAACCTACAGAATAGCTTGAGTGCCCTACAATTACTAATTTCGCTCAGTAGTATATTTCAGTAGTCAATTTTTGTATCAGAGATCATAATTTCTGATCCTAGCCCTATAGATATCACAGTTAACGATATGAAAAATTACTCAGCCTTTTCAAACTTTCAGCATTTTAAATTCTTCGCTTCTTTTTTTCCTCTCTATCCGAGTTACCATTTTCGAAACGAATGGAACACTTAATAGCACCGATGATTTGTCTTGGATTTGCTATTGGTAAGTTGCAATCTATCCTTTTATAAATCGTACAGAAGATAAAAAAAGCTCTCAAAATTCCCTTATAAAACTAAATAAATAATAATCTGATGAATTAACTTTGTCTTGAGGAGTTGATGAAGGTAAATACTTCAAAATATTTTGATAGGACCGAAACTAGCAGCTGATCAGGCAACAGATTTGTACTTCAGTTTATATAATTATCCACTTAATCATTAGATCCTTCATAAACTGTATCATTTGTACTTCTTGATCCAATGTGAAGTGATTTGGATGATAAAAAAGATAGTCTACAATGAAGGATAAGCATCTATGCCCTTCTCATCTGTGTGATATCTGTAAAGTCTTTGTGTGATCGGAATGAAACTGAGATAATGTTTTTCATTCAGATGCTTAGTTTAAGTCGATTACTTGCTCCACTAATCACTCAAATGTTTCTGGGTCGAATCGATGCGTTATTCAGTGAGTTTTTAACACTTCTGTACATTATGATTATCTCTTTCAGAAACAAATCTGACTGGCCAAATGTTGCTATGAACATTACTATAAATACTTTATGTAGGGAAGCTAATCTGTAATTCTAACAACATAAGTATAATTTACTTAGCTTTTACTAAAACCTATACTTATGTGACCATAATGTTTTCACTGTAGTGAAGTAAAGCATCTTCCGAAAGTTCTACATCACAGTCTCCATTCAGACCTACATCATGTGTCTGCAGTCATTTTCGCAGTCCGTGATACTGCATGAAATGGCTGTACAATGCTGGCTAGTCAAAATGACATCCCTTGGATGAACTGTAAAAGCTAGGGAGTAATAGGCATAAGTCCTGCTCTTGTATAGGACTCTTTAGTAGTGCTTACTCAACAACGCCTCCAGGGGTCAAACCTGGGACCACTAGATAATCTGACCAACATGTTAGCACTTAGCCATTGTGATACAACAAAACAGACCACGTCTTCCTACCCCTTTCAATTCACTAACTAGCCATAACCACCATCTTATGCCTTCGAGGAGTATTTGCCATGACATTCGACTCAATTAGCCTTGTAAATCACACAAATCTGTCCGAGTGACACTTTTCATAACCTCATCAGTAGTAACTTCAGTATGAAGTTACACTGAAGTTAGTACTGATGATGTCGTCTAGAAACACTATGAAAGCCTCACTATTAAACAACCCCCTCAGAGGAAAAAACGCAACCAAGACCATCTACCTGAGCTACAAATATTCTCCACTATTTCAAAGACAACAAGCTATCATGGTGTGAAAATATTCACCATTTCAGCTCTAGGTACTCAGAATAGACATATATGACACCTGATAAGTCAATTATCAGATGTTATCCAATGCCACTATCAACGTAGCTAATGCGGTACACATGTCCCAACAAAAATATTACAAATTTACTTGCTCAACTTGTTGGTACTCATTCAAAGGATTATGAGATGTTCAGCTCGGTTTCTTGTTGTTGCATTTTAAAATCTACTAAATCTAGAAAGAGGTCTATTCAAAAAGGAATGTTGGGTGGAACTAAATTTTTCTGTTTAGAAGAGAAATATCTATCCGAATCCAATGCAATGATCAGTTATATGAGACATTATAAGCCTAAAATTAACTCAAATTAAACATTTTTCAACCGAAAAAAATCCTACAACTTACTGTATGGTATGTAACTTAAACAAAGCAGTCCGAACCACCACTCAATTAAGTGCAAGAACACCGCTATAGTTCAAGTAACTATAAATAAGCTTCTCATCATCATAGTTCCTGATTATTAATAGATGTTGTTACTTATATTATCCCGTCGTCGAGCGGACCGAATTGATCGGTCTCTAGTGGGATATAGGGTCCTGCGTAGATGCTTCAATATTGCCTGTGTTTCACCTATATATTAAAAATGGATGATGTCAAGCAGTGGGATCCCGGATGCGCGTCTCATCCTATTTAGGACTCGTCAGTTGGATTTACCTACCTCCCAGTGCACGGTGTGCTCCCCACTGGGACTCGAACTCGGGGTCGATCGATTCAAACGCTAGAGTGTAACCCGCTAGAATACCGAGTCGCAACAGCCACTTCTTGTGTGACAAGCGTAGTTTCAATGTTGTCTCAAATAGGACGAAACTCACGTCAATCTGGATTCCACTACTAGTCACTATCTATTATTAATATATAACTCAAAGACAGGCAATATCTAGGCATCCGCTCAGGAGCCCGTGTACCAATGGAAATCGACCTATTTGGCCTAATCAACGAGGGGATACTATGAGCAACAATATTAAAACCATACCCCTTGCACAAGAAGTGGATATCGTTACTCGGTGTTCTAGTGGATAACGCTCTGGCTTTTGAAGCGATCGGTCCTTAGTTAGAGTAGAGTCCCAGTAAGGACAACATTGCTCACTGGGAGGCAGGTACATCCAGCTGGTGAGTCTAAAAAAGGGCGATTTGTCTATCAAATTGGATCCCGTTGCCAGGCATTACCATTCATTATTATCAATAAATGTCCACAAAAGTGGTAGACTGATTAGCGCCGTTTTCCGACCAAGTATGAAGGCGTCAAACTGTCGTCACGCGAATGAACAACGTTATTAAATCATCAGAACACTAAGGTTTTTAACATTGCATACGGCTTGTATTTTGTGCATGTACTTACATAATTACTATTTATGAATCGGATTGTTCGACCAACGGAGAATTACAGGCATATCCATAAATAGTTATGACTAATACCCATTGTACAATAGGTGACTATCGCGCATCTGTGGCCTAGCGGATAACGCCTTGGAGTTTGGAGCGGTGGGTACGATGTCCGAGTCTCAGTGGGAACAACATTACTAGTTATTGGGGTTCGGGCACATCCAGCTGACGATTCTCAAACTGGACGAAACTCGCGTCATTGATTCCTATGCTAGCCACAACCAAATGAATTTGTTCACACTATTACAACAAATAAACAATCACAATCAAACATTGCCCTGTATGAATATTGGTCTACCAAACTACGGCTATCTCAGATCGTCAAATGATGCATTATTAAATACTGAAACAGCTTTGATTTACATCATTTTCAATTGTATTGTTAAACTCCATCATTAAAATAAGTGAGTGGACAATCTCTGACACATGTTTTTGTAGCTTTCTACCACAAATATGCTATTTCCATCGAAAGTTTGAAGGCAGTGATGGATAGCGGCTAGTAGTGGAATCCTACTGGGGGTTCGTCAGTCGGATGCACCTGCGTTCTAGGCAGCAATATCTCCCCCTGGACTGAAACTCGATACCCGTTGCTTTAACTGTCAAAATTAGACCACTCAAATACGATAGCCTTCCCTTAAATGGTATGCACACCTCGGTATTATAGATAGTAGTTCTCCATCACTGAATGGTCGAAACTGAGGTTTTTAAAATATCATCAAACCCAATCACCTCACGTCAAACTTTTCATGACACCAGCATAAAGCAGACCAGTAACTTTCTGACAAAAACCAATGTTATTGATAATTAGCAACATAAATCATAAGGAAAGAATGAATGCAGCTATGAATAAGTATCAGTGAGGTTTGTTGAAGGCCTCATGTTATAAGGAACTATACCGGAAATAATTTATTACAGACAACTTCGAAGTAATAAACACGTCGTGGATATTGATTTCTTGTGACTTAGCTGTCGTATAGTAGTCATTTGTAGGTCGACTTCACATCCCTGTTACATTAAGATAACTTTAATTAAATGTCATTGTATGAATTCTTGAAAACCGTAGTGAAATGATACTCCTGTACTAAAAGTTATCCCACATAAACCGAAATAACCGTAATAAAGGTAAAGCTGTTTGACATTTAAGATAAAAAGATACATAAATCTGTGCAAAAATACCAATCATATTTTAGTAGATCTGCTTATAGGTTCTTATACCCGCTCTATTCCAATATACGCTAACAAGTCACTTATGGATCTGCTGTGTACAGGCAGGTAATAACTTGATAAAACTATCTTTCATCTACATCACCACACCATAAACCATCAGCATATGTTTTCCAACCACTCCATAGTGCCAAACAGCGAAGTTTATGAAAGCCACTGTGATAATATAATTAACATATTCATATGAGGATAGAGAGAAAAACGTAGTCTGGAGAGGGACCATTGAAAATGTATTTTATGTTATCGATTCTATAAATGGGGGAGAATAGTTGTAGCTCAGGAGAATGGTCTTGGTTGCCTTCCTGTGGGTTTCCAGCTTTCCGGCATTTGTCCAGGAATGGTAGTTGTTTGTTTGAGTATTTCTCCATTGTGGATTTGATAGCTGAAACTGTGAGTGTTTTCTATATCATCTTTTTAGTGATGACAGGATTGTCGTCCACATAGCCAATCCAGAGTTTTGGTCTAATCACAGGTAGAATGATGGCTTCTGGTCTCTGCATCACTGCTTCTGCAATTAGTCTGGATATGGATGGTCCCATTGGAGTTCGTTTCATCTGTTTCTATATCTTGCCGTTGAAATGGAAGTATGTTGTTAGACAAAAGTCGATGAGTCCCATCAGACTTAAACACTTAAGTTTTGTGTGTTCTGAAAGGCTTGTGTCTTTAGTGAGCAGCAAGAACATAGTTTCCTTGGTCATTTGTGCTTAATGCTATGGCATCGAAGGATACCATTAATTAGTCGCCTTCTATATTAATGCTTTCGATCTTTTCAAAGAATTCTGTTGATGATTTGATGGAATATCGGCATGATTGTACAAAGTATTTCAGTTCCTTCGGAAGTTCTCTTGATATGTTGTATGTTAGAGTTCCTGGAAGTGAGACTATTGGTCATAAAGAGTTGTCTGGTTTGTCATTTAACCTAAAAGGACCTGGATATATGAAGTGACTTGTCAGTATCTCTCCATGAGTGGTTGAGTGGTTTGCCTTGAAGAACTAGTTTGTGACTGGTTGTTTCCTTTTCCAGTTCATCAGTTCAAACTACTAAATCACTCACGGATAGATATTGACAGCTCGCTTCATAGTGAAGTTAGTGTTGATGATGTCGTCTAGACTAAACGACCAAGATCAATTCTATAGTTAGACAGACGGGCGGTGGATCTGCTAATCAGTTGGATTATCCTAAACAGCAAGACTATGTATACATTGGCTGTATTTTCCTTCGTCTTAGTCTTCAGTCTTTCCACTCATTTCTACTTATCCATCGTGTTAACTAGTGGGATAGGGAACCACCTAGGAATTGGTTGAATGTTGGTAGCTGACAGTCGATATCTGTGCATCGTTGACGGTCATAGAACATAGGAATTCTGAATCATAACACAAATATCCCAGCATTCAAAGCTGCCATTTCAAGATCATTAAGCTCATTGAATTATGACCTTAATCATTTCTAAACATCCACTATCAGCGCCAAAAATACCGGTAACACCAAATTCAAATATTCCTATGGGAATGATCAAACACGAATAATGGAATTCATCGGACATTTACAAATCTGAGAAACTATACCTGATGAGTATAGGAATCGTTGTATACACAAACTATCAGTTGAATTAACACTATACTAATTCAAACAAGTGCATAAATGAATGACAACTTTGACTATCTTAAATATAATTCCAAAAAGTGTAGATTCTGTGATGGTTTCGTTAACACAATTTTAACTTGTTACACTGATTACAATATGAGAAATTGTGAAACGAGTAACACAGTAAGGCTTCTAATGCGACAGCATATCTATAATCAAGCACCTACTTCTGAACAGTTATAAGAATATTTTCTCAAAACTTAAACATTCAATTATAATTGAAGAAAGTTAGATCGTTCATACTATGATAGACAAATGAATAAATTCACTGATTTATACACATGTATAGAGTTCGAACGAGTACCTAAAATAGAGAAATTGGCAGATATATCAGCCAACATACAATGGTCTATTCCCTTGAATAGACCCCTTTAGAAAATAGAATAATTCCATTTTGTAGGATACAATAATTTATTATTACTTAACAGAATTTTTGGCTAAGATTTATTTCTTTTATCAACAAAATAGCTAACAAGTGTATATTATTATGTTTGTTAAACATCAAAGGTATGGTTGATTCATCAATGATGCCATTGATGGGACATTTAGTCGATTTGAGACATGTTGCAGTTTACGGCAGTGTATATGCTATAGCAGATGTAGCCTTTTGTGTTGGCTTTGTATTCGGTATGTTCAGTGTTTTTCTCTTAAGATTCTAGAAAAAGCATTTTATTACCCTCATTTTGAAACCATAAAGATATTTTAAAATATTTCTTGAACTAAAATGCTTCAGAAAGGTATATATATATATATATATATATATATATATATATATATATGCAACTTCAACTAATTTCTTATCTTAAAAATTTTGAGTGAAGCAACAGCTGGACAAGTGTCAAGTTCACATCAACATCTGAGGCTTGTCCCCAGCTGTCATGTTAATGTCAACAACAGATTTCGACTAGTAATTGTAAATTAAACGTGTTAGCACTTAATGATTGATTGATCAGCACAATCGAACAAATGGGTACTACTGATGAAGTTATTCTAAACAAGAACAGATCGAATCACTATCAGCAATGATTATCAAGATGAAATTTACTATGTACCATAGTTTTAAATCACACCAAGAATAACCGTTGATTTGTTAAGCAGAAACAATACCATTTCATCATATAGAGCATTTTAAAAACAAAGGTCTACCTTTTCAGAAAGTGCACCACATAATAGTTTGGTCGGCTACAAAATGATAATCTACACTTCATTAGTTTATTCATACAAGTCAACATGTTTTGAAGAGTTGATCATTTTCAGTTAGTTTACATTTCACATACTACCCAGTGGAAATCATGCTGACTCATTATAATTTGATTAAGATCATTACTCCCAGTCAACAGATCTCATTACAACTCAATATTATTTCTTCCTTATACTTTGATTAAAGTCAACTCCTGTATATTCCATTGGTTCGTGAAAGATATCTCAGGTTATCAGTCTTCTGATAGTTAAATTCTAAAACCGTATTCCAGTGGATTGATGTAGTAGTTTCAGTGACAAGCATATTGTGTAAGACAGAACTGCACAAGAGTTTCATTATAATCCTGGTCATCAGTTTACTATAATATTGATCGATTCTCCGAGTATTTTCAGATCTTTTTCGTTATAACACAGCTCTATACAACTTATCCATCACTCACACAAGCATTCAAATTAATTGACTGAATGAGTGAATGAATGACAAAATCAGCGTAGAACCTCAAGCACAAGCGTATCGGTTAAAGTTGCCACACTTTACAGTACTGCACAAATAACAAACAGATAGATAGAAAAGAGTGATATCAAAGTAGATAAAGTCATGGAAGAGAACAATCAATCACGAGACAAAGGTTAGTGTGAATATTCAAGCGAAGGAGTGAGTACAGGTGTATCACTGTGACTGATTTTCAGCTATCTCATCAAGAGTCAGTCTTCAACTACTGATTCCCTTCATCTTAGTTATCCCAGTCCAGTACCAGTCTACACCTCCCAACACGGCTCTCACTAACAGTCACAGAATTCATTGACTGGTACCAGGTCCTAGTATGGTTACTCTGAACCCTCTTTCAATCAAATCCAGCTTCCCGTAGCATGGCACCTAGAGGTAAAAGGTGACTGTGTATGTGCAAAACATCCACAAATCACCTCATCAATCAACTTGCTCGTCTTGCTTAGTGCCCTTCACTTGACTTCAATATTGCTCATATAGTGATCCTACAAAACACTAACAATGCTACGAAGATATCTGTGATCTAAACCCTTTAACTGCTTCATATATTCTACTTTTTTAAAGGCCATGTCTTACAATTGTATAACAGGATAGAACGGACTGCAGCGCAGCACACTCATCTCTTGATAGATAGCCGAATATCTCGCCGAAACCACAGGTGACGTAAGTTGATAAATGCTAAACGGGCCTTCTGTATTTGAGCTGAAAAGTCTTCAGCAACCAGCCGTCTGAGTTGATGGAACTTCGTTTTATTCCCACAGCTTGGTCAAATCCATCCAATCAAGTTCATAGCTTTCTCAGATAATTGATATCTATCTATAGTAAATGTGTGGCTTTTTAAAACACTTTAACCTGACCAAATGAGCCTTTATATTAAGCTTGTTTCTAAGTAGTGACAGGTTAAGTAGTACTCTGTGTACTCGTTATTTTAAACATTCAAACTGAATTACGATAAACTTGTAGAAAATGCGGGCTAACTAATACGAAAAATTTCAAGTTGTTATTCATCGTTGACTGACATCGGTTGAAAGAATAAAGGAAACCTCGGAGCACTGGACAGCTGTTTCGTCCGACTAGTATGGGACTCCTTGGCAGTGCGCACCCACCACCCTGCCAGGGATCGAACCTGCGACCTTCAAGTCCCGTGGCCAGCACGTTACCATTAACATCATGACTGGTGGGGGCAAAGCCTGATGGTCGTGAGGACAGTTACTCAACGATGACATTGGGTAGCGGTTGCGCTATATTGTGAGGTAACAGAAATTGGAAATATGGACCCCTGGATTCCGACCCACTGGCTAGCTCAATGGTAACGTGCTGCCCACGGAACCTGAAGGTCGCGGGTTCGATCCCTGGTCTTACGGGGTCATGAGTGCGCACTGCTGAGGGGGCCCATACAAGGATGAAACAGCTGTCCAGTGCTTCGAGGTTTTCTTTATTCCTTCAACTGATGTCAGTCTACGATGAATAACAACTTGAAATAATTCCAAATCCCCATAACTCCCTCAAAATTTAATACGAAAAATGTTTATTTTAAAGAAATCTCCCATTAATTAATATTTATAATCTTTTCGGATGCGTATTTGTTTATTTAACTATTCAGGCCCATTACTCAGTACTGTAATGTTGAAAGCGTTGGGTTTTAATTGGTGAGTAAGATTATTCAATTGGTCAGCTTTGATTTACATTACTACTTGTGAGTACATCTTAGAGAATCAGTGTGTTGGTTCAAGACTTAATTAGAATTATAAAGTAAATCACCAAAGCTTGTCTTTTATAGCATAAATCTCTAGCTGGTGTCTCTTTCATTTTACCTACTAGTTGAATGTAATCTAATCTGTCTTCTTTGTTAACAGACTATCTGTAAAAAAAACTGCCTTCTGTAGCACAGTATATTTTAAAATTTTAATGACAGATAGACCGAATTTAGGAGGTAGTCATTCAAATTAACTTTCAGAGCTACAAAAGTGACAGATAAGTAGGACACTTAGATAACTAGAGAGTCAAAGAACGTTTTCTGAGTTAAAAATAAGTACTAAAATCGTAGGACTATCTAAGCTTTATGATATAGGAAAATTTTTCTTCAAAAATAACCTTGATGATATTGTACTCTTCAAAGTAGATCGTTTTCATTACTAGTGAGGTTTCTTAAATCAAGTTAACAGTTTAATGAGTCAGTTTTCCAGATTTCTGGACAAGTATTCCCCATCAGAATTTTCCTATACAAAAAAATGTGGGTCGACTTCTGATATTCTAGTCTTGCAACTTCTCTTGAAATGAACAACTTGCTGAATTCAGTAGTAACCTGTTTATTATTTATCATCTTCACTCGATTGCAGATCTTGAAAGGGTAGCAAACCCCTGACAACGTCAAAATTTAAAGATCAATGTTTAACATAAATTGCCACTCTGGAAGTGTTATATGTAAAGAATGATTTCTTGTCTTTATTCTAAGATTTCATCAGTTTATCATGTTATCGGGTTGAAACTGCTCTTATGACATTGAGAACTATGTGGTTCACCTTGCAGCGTCTAGTTTCTGGAATTTACTAGCCATTCAGATTCTGTAAACAATTATTCCATTTACTTCAAAGTATCATGTTGATATAACCGTCTGTGCTATTTTTATTTTCAGGATGCTTTGGGTAATTGCTATAATCAGCTTTGCATACGCTCCGCTAACTCTATTCCTCAGGAACCCGCCTAAACGAGATCTTCCACTAGAAGTAGGTTATCATTATTCTAATGAACAATAATTAAATCAACATGCGACTAAAACTTCAATAGGTTCTCACATCGAGATTATATCATCTACTTGGAACTGTTATTTCTGTATGTGTAAGGAAGGGTTAGAATTAGTGTGTTTGATTGGAGACAGGAGGCAGGAAGCCTTGCTAAGACAGGTTAAGTCCTTGTTGATACTTGTCGGCAGGGTGTATCTGCAGTCTCAGGGAAGCTGACGTCCCTGTAAGAGCCGAACCCGTTACGATACTATGGCTGATTACCTGTAGGACTGGGTTAAATACATTGGTTAGTCACTAAAGAGTAACTAATTTCATTTTGCTTGGTTCCAAGTACGAATAAGAATCTCAGAAAGGGCATGGATTCTGATGAAATTCTAAGTACAACTTGCTGATAGGAGCCAACAAGCATTTAATTCGGGTCTAGGATCCCCTGTTAATCGCTTTCAACAAAGTAGCATCAGTTAGAGTGCATAGCTGTCACCTAACTCGGATGCCGTTTCAAGAAATAATAGAGACAATTCAAACAACACTTTGAACTAAATGATATGAAATTAGTCACTTTGTAGTAACCAGTCAGTGAGAAAAAAATTCGGTATTGTTAGGCGAACTCGATAATTTGCCTGATAAACTAACACGCCTAAATATCTGTAATGAAATATCCCAGGACATTAATGCAACTAGTTATACAGCCACTCATGTACAAAGATATGAGCGAAATGGTCACACTTCGAGATAACAAACGATTATCCAAAAATATTGTCAGGATCCAACTGTAGAACACAAATTACATCACACCTTAACCTAAAACCACACAACATATAATCAATCCTTGTTGATTTCTTGATATCCAAAGTAACTAAGAGTCAACTATCAAGAGGTCAGAAACTCCAACTGAAACAACACCCCCTACAAGTCAATGAATTTTTATCTACAGCAAAATTGGATTTCCTTCATTTCTCAGTTATACTTACGAAAACTTGATACAAACGAAGAGATGGACTGACAAATGCAAAATCATGTGCTATACCATGTTGATTCAAACCATCAAACTTTGAAGAAACACACTTGATAAAAGCCAACAGTAATTAGGATATGCGCAAACAAAATATACCTACAACGAGGCAGTATTTCAAATAAACACAATACCTGAACTTTGAGGAATGACGATGAATAGGTTGTAAATGAGAGTTGCTTCAGTTATTATCTTCGAAAATGAATCCTTCAGATTTTGAGCAGTCAAAGAAGAAGGTTTATACTCTTCTGTAATACATAAAACAAAGCACAGGGACTTTCGTGACTTTTGCCATTACTTGCGCCGATCATCAACGAATGTTGTAGGACTAATATAGAAGTAGTATTTGGACACAGTGGGAGATTGTAATTCCATTTTAGTCTGTTTATTAGAAATGTCACACACTGAAACAGCACTACTGTTTACTGAATTATATTTCGGGCATAACTTATCAAGATAAATACATAACCTTGAGACATGGTTTATATACTTCTTACTTTCTCGCCTCCTTTGTGATATGGGTAGTAGGATTTCCCGTATATCCGAGACAGGTGCGGAGTCATTCCTGTTGCATGTTGTGTTAGGTGTTGATTCGATCAACAAAGATCTGACGATCAATTTCTTTGTCACTCCACCCTGCTGGGTAACTTTTGAGGATTTTCACCCTCGTTTCATTCTCTTATGTGATTGTGTGTCATGGCACGCGTGTGCATGACCGAGCTATTTTCTAAATTTATTATCTTACTAAGTTCTATCAAATTCCATCTAGCTAGGCTTTTGCGCCAGTAGATGATATCATACTAGCAGTACACCTATGCCTATTCTCCAAAATCTTTAGATTACAGTATAAAATATACAAACAAATAGGAGTTGCCATGAGGTCACTGAGATCCCCTATCTTAGCTGACATATTTATAGACAGTTGCGAACTAATGGCTGCAGAAAAGTTTAATCCGACTACAAAAATATGGTTTCAATATGTAGATGACACGTTTACAGTGTTGAAATCGGAGCACACGCTTAGTTTCTTCACACACATAAATTCAGTAGTCAACACATTCCAACTCACCTATGAATTAGAAAATAGTGAAAGGAGAATTAGCAATGTTGGATTGCTGAATAAAAAGGAAACAAGATGGGAGTTTAGACACTGGTGTCAACAGAAAACCTTCATATTCAAATCGCCACTTAGACTTCAAATCGTCTCACCTTATATCAGCTAATGTTGGCTGAGTAAAGTGTCTAAGCAACAAGGCCAGAAAACTTACTAGTAAAACGGAAGATCTGAGGCAACAAACCAGACACATTAGAGACACCTTACTCATCAACAATTACCCCCCTAAATTAATTGATCAGTTTCTTAGGAATCATCAGAAAAATATTAGTAATACATAATGACAGTAGTGATAATAATATTAAAAATAATAGTGAAAAGAGAATTTTAAACCTCTACAGTATTACCATAAAACGAAAGTACCTCATAGACATTATTCAGGATTCTCAATAAGGCTGACTTGGAAGAGAATGGCAATAAAACCTACCAACTCACTTAGAAATTAGCTTAGCAGGTTAAAAGATCCTGTTCATCCACTTTAGTAAAGAATTCAATTTAGGAAATCTCTTGCAATGATTAGGAAGCCAAGTATATAGGTCAAATTAGTCGACTAGCCAGGGTCAGTTAGGCTATATGATCACAAAAAGCTAACTAAAGGGAGATTGATAGAACTTAGTAAGATAATAAATTTAGAAAATAGCTCGGTCATGCACACGCGTGCCGTGACACACAATCACATAAGAGAATGAAACGAGGGTGAAAATCCTCAAAAGTTACCCAGCAGGGTGGAGTGACAAAGAAATTGATCGTCAGATCTTTGTTGATCGAATCAACACCTAACACAACATGCAACAGGAATGACTCCGCACCTGTCTCGGATATACGGGAAATCCTACTACCCATATCACAAAGGAGGCGAGAAAGTAAGAAGTATATAAACCATGTCTCAAGGTTGTGTATTTACCTTGAAATGACTATAAAGAACATGAATTGTGTCGAAAATATATTTCAGTAAACAATGCTGTTGCTTCACTGTGTGATACATCTGATAAATCAACTAATATGTTGTGGGACTCATAATTAAGGTATAAGATGGTTCAGAATGCATGTCTCCACTACTCCAGTCATAACATTTCCCAACTTTCATTTAGAGGCTTGTTTATCTTGTTAGGAACTTTGGTTTCAATTTCGATATCACCTATTCGTCTGTTTCATTACAAAGACAAATATCTGTAATATGTGTAGAGTGGATCATATTGAACTTTAGTGTATTATACCCGGACTCTAATAAGCAGTCGGAGATTTCAATGCTCTTGGGAGAGTACCTTGCATCAGTGAATTCCAAAAAACTTCTGCAGCAACGAGGTAGTTAATTCCAATGAAGACAAATGAGGAAATCAAACGGTTATTTCACGAAGTCTTTCTTTATCCTTTTGTGCCTTTGATTAAGCCTACAAACTTATCCTGTCATAAAATAATCATGAACAAGTTGACCAAATGTGAGAAACATGTAACATTCGATGGATCCAAGGATGAAGAAAATTTATTAAGAGTAATATGAATCGATCATAAGTTAGGCATAGTTTGATGTCGTTCAACTTCAGCATGATCGTTTAGAACACAGAAGATGAAACTATCTGAATAAATAAGAATTTATACTGGGTGATGATTGAGGGTGAATTGAAAGTTTTGATCACGGCAGGATTCGGACCAGTGACCACCGAGTTTCCAGTTCGATGCTCTACCAACCAAACTACGAGATCCGACTTCTGACCAGATTTTTTTTATTTCACTTCAAACACCAAGGGTTTTACCCGACTATATGATGCCCCCTGTCTCACTTAGATTTAGATTGGGGTGAGAAATCCTGACTGGTGGGTAGCCAGTAGAAATACGATCAGATGGTAGTAATGCATCACAAATTCACATGGTAGTCAAGCGAAACCTTTGGTGACTGAAGTGAAATAAAGATGTGGCCAGCAGTCGAACTTCGTAGGTCAGTTGGTAGAGCGGCGAGCCGGAAACCCAGTGGTAGCTGGTTCGAATCCGGCTGAGGTCCAAATTTTCATTCCACCTTCAATCATCCAGTATAAATACTAGTCTATCAAACTAGGGCTATCTCAAACAGTAAAATGATAACTAACAAATTAGCGTAGTCCACATGGGGTGTTGGCCGGAGATATTAATATACCCATAGGCTTATTGAAATAAAGACTCTCCCATGAAAGAACTTTGCTTGCAGTAAACAATTATCTGAAGATCTCTAGACTAAGATGAATGTTACTAACTATCTTACTGTCTGTATCCACAATTTCATTTTTGTAAACTAGATTACAACTTGTGGATATCAAGACAACGATATAGAGGACAGTACTCATCAATAATTCCGTTTCCTGAGAGAATATCCAATCAGTGACCCACATAAAGAAATATTTTTTAACTAAAATTAAGGTTATGGTAAGTAATTGTGAAGTGGATTGAAAGAAGGCACTATCGAGTCTCCACATTTCCTATTTTTGTGGAATAACCTGCATATTGTTTGTACCAGTTAGACCATTGTTAAATAACAGCTGGTTTGATGATAGGCGAACTAGTAAATGGCTAAGAATCATGCAGAAACACATCCACAATTTAAAAGGCAGCAGATGCAAGTACACTGAACCAGTGCCTTCTTTTAACAACTGTTCAAAACAGATGGCCGACTGAATAATAGTAAAGCAAGTAAGACAGAACAAAGGTGGAGATATGGTAATCACTGGTCAAAGTACGCCTATTGATGTAGAAATCTTGAAAAAAATTCAAGGTCAAACAGGTGCAATTTTGTTAGAAACACACAGGAATTCGCATTTATCCCATCTTTGTAGAACTGGATTCATCCACTGCTGCCAAAAAATGGGTGACTTACATAGACATCTTGAAGTCTTATCTGATTATACCCTGCAAACAGTTAGTTTTTGGTAGTCTGACAGGCAAGTTCACAACGTGGAACTCCTCATTACTGTGTTGATTACCTGGATATATTTGCATTCAATCTTGTGAATTTAGCGATTAGAAAATTAACATATTTTGGGAAACTAGAAGTAGGTTAACAGCAAGTGTCTGCTGTAAGTCAGCAGTTTGATTTAAAAGTATACAGCGTTATCGTCGATCAGTCTTGATTCCGGCGTTCTGTAGAAACAATAATATAATGAAATGAGCACTCTGAATTGAATTATTAAGACCTATTGTGGGAAGTCCGCCTTTTGTGTTAGAGATGCTTATAATGCAAACTGACAAACTTTGCCTTATAGACTTACCATTAAACTCCATTATACGTCGACTAATAACTGAAAGCGAAGGAATATTGAAAATGCATCAAGTCCACATATCTGAAATCTTTCAAGACACTGAAATTGGTGTATATACTGGCTATTTATGTGATTAAAACTAATTTGAATGCACTGCATCTCCCACTTAACTTGGTTGTGGATACAGTCAGATGACAAAGAGAATTTCCTATTGCTATACAGGATTGAACATTTTGACTTCTGTTGGGAGATGGTCTAATATGCGATCGCCTCGACAATCCCAGATAATCATGGTGTTATATTCACCTAGGTGACTAGTAGTGGAGTCTAAGATATGCGTTTTGACCTATTTGGCACTCGTCAAAGGATTTGTCTGCACCCTATTGAGTGATGTTGTTCCCACGGCGACTCAAACACAGTATGCATTGTTTCAGACGCCAAAACGCTATACACTAGGCCACAGAGGTCAAGCAATTCAGCGTTGTATAGCAACGGGAAATTATAAGTATTAAAACAACAACTGATACCCATTACACAAGTAGTGGCTCTTGTGCACCAGTGGTCTAACGGACAGCTGGGGTGTTTGAAGCCGTTAGTGCTGGATTAGAGCCCCGTTTGGAACAACATCACTCACTGAGGTGCAGGTGTATCTGACTGACGAGTCTTAAAAAGGACGAAACGCGAGCCTTGGGTTTTATTAGTCACTAGTCACTAGGACGAATATGACATCAAAGTGAGAAGACAAGTTCTTATCAGAGATTGAGAAAATGATTATCCTCAAAGTTAATATTTACTCTTGGCGTATAATCTTACTGTGTTTGCTCTTCATAGAAATTGGTTTTCATCAGTATAAAATATATTACAGAATACTTCAATGATTGTGTGATTTATTTTTTCGCTATTTTAGATTCTGCATTTCCCTGATCGGTTACTATTGTTTCTTATCAAAATGTTGTACTGGAGACTTAATCAGCTATGCATACATGTACATGGTTTATTTCTATTACAAAGAAATAACACTAACATGTGCTTATTACTCTTTTGATCAAACTGTGTTCCAGACTCGTGGAACACCCCTCAAGAATATCTTTTACAATCTCCAAGATATTGAAGAAGATTTGTAGCTCAGTATAAAGATAATAATTTCTTGGTATTCTACAAGCTTTAAGGTTTGCTTGCTTTGTGTGTTTCATCATCAGACAAGGTGACTTAATCAGCGTTTAATTCATAAATAAAGAAATGCTTAGCCTAGTGATCGAACCTACAAGAAAACAAGCCATAAAGCTCGACAAACTGCTGGAACTGTTGGAGACTGTGACAATGTTCAACTTCATATTAGTGGAGAACAACATTTAAACCTCATTAGTGACAAAAGCATAGAAAAAACGTCAGATGCTGAAAAATATCACCAATAGAATGAAACAATTAGTGTTTACACTCAATGAAAAAAGTAAAACATTATCTCAAGCGTCTAAACACAGAAAGAACTAACAAATATCAACAGAAAACGATGAATCTTATGTGTTTCGTTACATACTCCTCAACTGTGTACAAGTTAAGAAAGCAGGAATTCTAAAGTAAACACCAGTAATACAAGCAATAACACTAAATACCAAAATACCTAAAATCTGGATGATTAGATGGCTATTAAGTAGCAGGATAAATAGTAGTAGTAGTAGTGTGAGTAGTAGTGGTAGTGTGAGTAGTAGTAGTAGTAGTAGTAGTAGAGGTAGTGTGAGTAGTAGTAGTAGTAGAGGTAGTGTGAGTAGTAGTAGTAGTAGTAGAGGTAGTGTGAGTAGTAGTAGTAGTAGTAGTAGTAGTAGTAGTAGTAGTAGTAGTAGTAGTAGTAGTAGTAGTCTAAATGTACGATGGTTAATGGATCACAAAGATATTTCAAAATTGGGAAGTTAATAATCTTAAGTTATATGACATAATCATTGATAATTTATCCAACATATAGGAGAATCAGTTGCACAGAAGTAAGAAATATACGAATCTACGCTTGAAAGAAAATAAAATTCTGTGTAGTGCAGTCGCCTGATACCTCGAAGACTTGGGATAACATGTTGAAATCTTGAAACGTTTCAAAATAATAACATATAGAAAACGTTCGAATTGCTGAGCATTGCTTTGCGGAAATAACTACAATAAAAGGCTTTTAACCTGACCGCTGAATATAGAAGTAGAATGTTGTTAACCGTTTACTCTTATATTCTAATAACCGCTGTACTTTTATAATGTATATGGCTGAAGAGAGTTTGTGAAATCAAACGATGACACCATTCTATTCCACAAATTTCATTCTTCCTGCTTTGTCCAAATCTAAAAGTACAAAGTGGTGAAATTGCTTAGAATCTAGTACAGTAAGGCGATATGTTTGAACGTATGATTTATGCAGCTTCATATCTAATTGAAATGAAATTTATAGGATAATTTTTACAATAGATATGAATAGAATGATGGGATTACGTAATATGGGGAAGAAATTCACCAAAATGTTACTGTAACAGAAATAGAAGACAAAATTGAAACCAACTCAGAGAGTTGAACTCATAGACAATACCAAAAGTAAAATGAGGTTAAGTTTATTTACAGTGTTATCGAGTAATCTAAAGATGAGTAACTGATTTTTTTGAATGCAAAGATTATCTTTAAAATATGTGACATCAGTGACCTCTCCAAAGCGAGGCAGAACAGGATTCGACTGTTTGTCAATTATTTTGAATTCATTCTCAGGAATCACATTATGTTCCATGTCCAGTTAATGACAAGCTATTGAACAAATGATACCGCATGATCCTGTTACGATAAGATTCCTTAGAATATCTTCAACAAAACATGTAGATAGCCGTCTGTTTATTCTTCTAATTCGACCATCTTTTTTATCGACATGTAAACTAATGAGGTAATCAACCTGATTTGGATTACTAAACACTTTGTTGTGCTGTTGACTGTAGTGAATAACTTTCAGTTGGCTGTGTTGACAATTTACTCCATCTTCTAAGACATTTTCAGATGTAGAACAGAGTTCATCACGCTGAATTCTTTAATGATCTTTCTGCGTTGACAATAATGGATTTTCAGTTTCACTTTGTGAAATAGCCGTGGTTCTGAAGATTCGTTTCATTAATATTGAGTGGTGATTGAAGGTGAACTGTAAATTTAAGTCGTAGCAGGATTTAGACAAAAAGAATTATGGATTTATTGAAAGGATAACGCTACAGACTTGTACTGATTTAAAGTCATTTGTAAATTCAAAGCATATGGACTATTTGACTCTAGAAACACTAACTACCAGCAGATTTGTATCACCCAGGGAACGTACTTGCTGAATGTCTGTTAATAAACATAAAATCTACATCCAAAGCTTTCTACCGATTGGGTTTCAGCCTCAAACAACAGAATACTTTCTAACGTTATTCTTATAAACAACAACATTCACAGCTGAACAGAAATAATTACTTTTTAACTTTCATCGGCTCCGTACTGAAAGTTACATCACAGGCGTTATGAAGTCGCTTTCTTGATACATAAGGCAACACTTCTGGATAAGATTGAGTCAGGCATGGGTCAATGAAGTCATCAACTCGGCACAAATCAACTATCGTTCTGTGTTGAGGAGGCTAGTTCAGCTCTAATCGAATCTTAAAAGGAGAATTAATGAGCTAAACATTAGTTTTTTTAATCCCTTATTCTTCTTTGGTCTTGTACTAATCTCTTGTGTTAAATAAATACTTTAAACTTCCCACATTATATAACTATTTACTGATGTACTTGTAATTCTCCATTGTTTTACTGAATCGAATTGTTCCACCCCTATTGACATATAGGATCCTATGCGGATGCCTCGATATTGCCTTAGTGTTGACTATGGTATTGTGGATAACGCCTTGGCGTTTCAAGCGATGGGTACGAGGGTCGAGTCTCAGTCGAAACAACATCACTGACTGGGATACGGGTACATCAAATAGGACGGAGTTCGCGTCCTAGATTCCCCTGCTAGCCACAGCCAACCAAATCCCCACACTACACTCTTTTTATCTGACACATCATTCACTGATACAATATTATATACTTAATGACCTTTCGAGTGTAAATTATTACTCATAATCATATTAGTGTAATCACATTACTTTCGATATCTGATTTTTATGGCCATGTTATCTCATATTCTTATTTTTAGTGGTAGTAGTAGTAGTGGTAAAATTTCCCGCATCTCTGCTATACGCGTTGCGTCATTCTTATTACATGTATTGGGTATTGGCTGATTCGATGAACAAAGATTCAGTAATCTCTCTCTCTCCACCTAATATATATTGCACTTGAGTACATTTGCTTTAATCTAATCAATTGTGCGGTTACATGCCACTGCATGAGTTACAATAGACAGTTTTTTTCTAAATTATTGATCTCACTAGGGTCTATCATTCTACATTTGGCTAAATTCCTATGTTCCACTAATTTAACTGACTCTAATCGGCTAATGTGACTTGACAATCACCACATGGAGTTTAGTAGAATAAATTATTTTGACCTAATGGATCCTTAAACCAATAAAGCCTATCCATGATAGAGTTTGTAGGCCTGATTGGTATGTTTATTGCAGCCTTGCTGAAAATTCTACGTAAAGTTTCTTACATTACTTCCTTGTGTAGTAACACAGAAGAGGCATTGAACTCCTTTGTACTTGTGTCAGCGTTACTATTCACATTCATTTTACTGTTATGACTTAGTTTCTTACAAACTCTCACGAATTTGCTGATAAACTTGAGACGATAATTATCAAGAGTAGTTATCATAGGCTAACTGATTTGGTCTAAAGACTAACAGTGTAATATAATAAGTTTTATCAGTAATCGATATAACCAAGAAAAGAATAACGAATCTCTAATCATATCGGTGATGAACTTTCTTACTTTTAATGTTACTCTTGCCAAGCTTGAATCAAAAAGGATGTGTAAAAACTTACCTAGATATTGATCACTTCGATAAGTGGTTTTGCAACAACATAAACTTTGACAAAACAATAAGAAGACGTAAATTGTCTGAACCGTGTAATGTATTTGCGCAACACATTTCGAACTATCTGATCACACACGTACTTGTCATAGGTATTTATATAAAAACTCATGAAGATAAGGGGTGAGAAAATAAAAAGGGGTCAGGTAGGAAGGCTGACTTAAAGGCCGAATAACAATGAAATTCAATAGGGCGAAAAAATAATAGTACATGGAACTTGGTTTTTCAATAGTTGAATTTACCAAGGAAGGTTTAATGTGACAACAAATTGTTTATGAATACATAAAGGTGGTTTCAACTTCCTAATAGCTAAGGCTTCAACAAATTTCAGGATCCCTCCCCAAAATGTTTTGTAAATAGGTGTAAAGGAAGTAGCCACATCAATCTTGTGACTTATCTCAACGATATGTTTGGCGATCGAAGAACTTGGACGTCTGCTACCAACATTTATAGGTTCAGGTGATTTGATTTGCTTCTGAAGCCACTTTGGAATATGTTCCGAGGCCCTTACTTGCATGTATTCCAAAGTGGCTTCAGAAGCAAATCAAATCACCTGAACCTATAAATGTTGGTAGCAGACGTCCAAGTTCTTCGATCGCCAAACATATCGTTGAGATAAGTCACAAGATTGATGTGGCTACTTCCTTTACACCTATTTACAAAACATTTTGGGGAGGGATCCTGAAATTTGTTGAAGCCTTAGCTATTAGGAAGTTGAAACCACCTTTATGTATTCATAAACAATTTGTTGTCACATTAAACCTTCCTTGGTAAATTCAACTATTGAAAAACCAAGTTCCATGTACTATTATTTTTTCGCCCTATTGAATTTCATTGTTATTCGGCCTTTAAGTCAGCCTTCCTACCTGACCCCTTTTTATTTTCTCACCCCTTATCTTCATGAGTTTTTATATAAATACCTATGACAAGTACGTGTGTGATCAGATAGTTCGAAATGTGTTGCGCAAATACATTACACGGTTCAGACAATTTACGTCTTCTTATTGTTTTGTCGAAGTTTATCAA